AAACATAACATAGTCTACAACAATAGGTCCAAGGGTCTTGATGACCCCTTGAGTTAAATGAAAACTTTAACTTATATTGAAGGAACATATCATTAAAATCAACATGCTTTCAAGGTAGGACAATTTGGACTACATTACAGATGTACTGCAGATATAAACTGTGCATAACATTAAACTTCCAACGGAAAATAAAACAAATTACAATATGTGTTAAAATGTGTAATTTCTTTATAGGCACTACATTGTGTAGTAGTTTAACCCCCTCATCACGGTTATAGGAGACTCTTGGGTTAATAAATCTATAATCTCGATAAAGAACTTACATTTATTTAGTAGCCAGGTTCATTGTATGCAATACCATCGAATTGCCTCATCGCATACTTATAGTTCTCTTAACAATTTTGAATCATCTCCAATGGAAATTAAACAAATTACTCTCAATATGTATTATTTCTTACTGAATGTAAGCCATATTAAACTCTACTCCGCTCCATAGTGTGACCGTGGGGATAGGGGTAAGGTGATACAATTTTTCATTAAAGCACCCTAAGACTCTTCCATTCATGAAGAATATACCATTCTCACTTACATGGGTCTCGTGAAGATTCTCTTCAGTAACATTGATCTTGTTTGGCCTGCACCTTAGTCCCTATACAGTCGGAAATACTTTAAGTTACAATACTGACTTTTGCAAACTTTCATTTATTTTCGTTCTCGTTTTTTGGTTTGTGATCAATTCGAAAATGTCAATGGTTTACGGATGAATGATGGATGACGCACAACTGAAGACGACGGGAAAAGATTAATGTATATTAATATTTTACTCTTACAATCGTGTTTACGTTTAGGAGGAATCGTCCATTAAAGATATAACACGTATCTAAGTAATCATATGTCATCTATAGAAAATCCTATGGTAGTGCATCACCATGGTCTTACTGAAGTAATGAATTCCATTCAAAGCTCTTAGAAATGACCAACAAAGCAATAAAACTTGGATATTAGATATAGAAAACTTTACGATCTAAAAGTATTATGCAATATTTGGTTCCGCTTTATATCCGCGAAGTTGTAAAAGTTACATATTGTTCATTACAAAAACACTTTATTCTTTTTCATCAACTTATAATTTATGTTTATCCATCGCTGAAATATATAAAAATGATTTAAAGAAAAAAATCATAACATGATACTGGAAATATTTTATAACATAGATTTATTCCAAACTATCTAAACTTAATGTAATGAGATGATAGCGTCATATTATGGTAACGCTTTAGCATACAACGTGATCCTTACATAATTTTATGTCGTCAGTCATAATCATCACATTATGACATCTATTCCGGTGATCTTTTGGCTTCTCAGTGTCATTCATTCACTAGTGTTGTTGAAATAGCTCTACATCAGTCATAATCATCAAATCATATCAGCATATCCACGTAACCTAATCATTTGACTAAAGTGTCATTCATACACTAGTGTTGTTGAAAAAGAATGACATGTACGATGTTGACGATAATTAAGTTTAATACCTATGTTTGTTACATTGTGATTGTAAGCATGCAATACCGGTATCATTCGGCTAACATTTCAAATTTGCATCCATGTATAAATGAAAGCGACTCGGTAACTTGTATCAATGTATGACTTAATGATGTCCACCAGTTATCTCTTTTTATTGTTTGCTTACCGACATAATACGAAATTTTCTATATCTCTTTCAAACATGATGAAACTTTCAACTACTTCATTGAACATTAGTACGAACTGTGACTCGTATGCTATATATTGTTTTGCTTTCGTCAAAAATGTAACATTAATATTTTGAAATTTCGAGTAAATAATTCTCCGTTGATCATGTTAACTTTGCATTTAAGTTCCCTTTTCCAGGTTTATGACTGTAATGTAGGTATCGTCTAATTCTACTCATCTTATAAAAGAGATCTACATAATTTTATTTGACAAGTGCCTACGATACATAACTAGATACAATACACATTTAAACCTTGAACATTTTTCTTCAAAGATAAATACAATATGTTGCAGGCAGGTACCATATGGCCTTAAAATAGATTAGGAGTGAAATGATTTATAAAACAAAGGATAGTACATGCATGAAGAATATGTGGATAGGAAATGTGCAGTGTATTAGGTAATTACATTTTGTACTTCTTTGTATACCGAAACCACTCTCCACCATTCAATCTATAATGTTGTTCATCAATGACTGACTTTGGAAATGCTTACAAATACAATATTACAATGACTTAAACGTGTACTGTGTTATTAACAATGAAAACAAGAGCCATACACATGTATACGTCACCATATTTTACAAATATACAATATCTCAGTAAAAAGAAATCAAACTAACGAGAAAACTGTTTTTGCGACATGAACGCTACATGCAAATTTAAAGTCAAAACTTATAAAGAATTTGACTTTCCTGTACTATCATCAAATCCAAGAAATAAAATTTATATACACGTGTTGGCAACTGTTCCAAAAACATGTCTTTATGATCAGGTGGTTTATAAAAGTCATTTCCATGCTTATTGAAAACAATCCGCAATATCTGAAAACAGTGTTTATGACCTAATATCACTTCTTCAGTCATAATTATCCCTTTAAGCTTAGTATCTCGTCTTTACCTCACGCACTAGGATTGAAGGACAACCTCATCCAAGTGTGTTCTTTAATAATTCACTAACACATGGAATGCTTGTGACTATCTGATGCATAAAAATCACATCAGCTTCCTTCATGCTACCAAAGTGCAGTGAAAATATTAAACGGTTTTAAAAATCTAAATATAGATTAGATATGATTTGTATCTAGCTTTCTGCATTCTGTTAACCTCAATGAGAAATATTTTTATCGGGTTAAAGAAAGCATGTTATACGAGAAGAAAGAAACGATACCATTAACGTTTGTGTCTTACTAACGAGACATATGTTTAAGGGTTAATTGCCTGGCAAGCTGCACAAGAATCAATTCATCTTTATTTACCATGTTTGAATTAGAACAGTAATACAACTGTTTATTTACATCCTAAACACTTACACATTTGATATATTCACAACATTTCCTTACAACCTTCAAGATGATCGTCCCCGCTCTATCTTCCGTTTTGCTTCAGAAAAGATAACCACGTCTATAATGACGGAAACATCGACACGCGTTTTTCTAAAATGTCAACATTTTTAATAGTGTTACCTAATCCTTTGTGTAAATATTTACGGCTTCACGATGCATTAAGCACATCACAAAAAACTTAATGGAAAATGGATGAGAAAAATATCACTTCTTTGTGATTTAGTCAAAAAATGTCAACCCACAGGATAATACTAGTTTTAAATATCCTACGATAAATGCTCGCGAAAATATTTTCTCGGGTTAAGATTTCTGTCTACACCACATAAAAACGACATATGTCATCATCTTCAATTCGTCTTATCGCAACAATTTTACATACAAATACGATGCACATTGTACAAGATCATGGTATTTGCTGAGTAATATAAGGACAAGGGATTTAAAAGTTTAGTTTTACATTCAACGGGATTTTATTCATAATGCATAAGATAACAGTATATTGTTACCCAGCAATGTGTTACGTAGGCAGGCAGGGTGCAGTCAAATAATTTCACAATCAATACGCTGATATTAACTCGCTACCGTTACAATTTGGATTTACTAAGCTTAGTACACCATAATATCATCCTAGGGATATAAGATTTTAATCACAGAATCTTGGAATAAATACGTGTACGAAACAGTGTCTGTTAATCATCCTACCAATACTAATGACATCCTGAATACAGAATTATGTCTATTAGCCGTCATGTGATCTAAACGTAGAGGGTAAGCATATATAATTCATACCGGGGCTGATGAAGAGAAATAATACGATAATTAGTTTGTAAAATCGTCTATGTAATGCGGGAAGCCAGAATAGAAACAAACGAGAAAGGAACCTGGGTCCACACCATGTGGTATTTCGATTACTTCGATCGGGAACGTAAAAATGAACTCCGAATCACCATTGATCAAACTCACTATCTCCACAAAATAGCACATCACTGTTTCTCGTTGTTCATATGAACTTTTTTGAATGACGGTTTTTTTTTTTTAATCGTGAGTATTTTCTACATTTATTGATATAGATATCTTCGTGTAAGAGTTTTTCATGAGTAACTCATAAGACCATTGTTACTGTCTAGCGATACGATTGGTTCTTTACACAATTCTTCTGGTCTATAAGAGAGGAACAATGATTCACACTGGGTTTGTTTCGCGTCAAAGCAGAATATTGCATAGCATCCTCCTCAAATGATACAAACCGAACTAAAAAGAAAACCTTCCTCCGCACACAGAAATGGAAGCTGTGATAACAGTGTGCACTCATGGGTATTTACACGAGCATGAGAAAGTTTAAGATGCCAGAATTCATCATGATATGAACACGTTAAAATGTATTAATACTAAATATATTATGTTCCAGATTGGAGAATTAAGACACAGTCGACATGATGACATTCACAGATGATAATAGACAATTAATCGTGAAAAAGAATCGTAGAGACGTTTGGAATATTTACGATGAATTTGTACATTAACTGTTACTGTACGACATATTGTTGTCGTTGTACGTGTATCGTTACACTTCATTAACATCTGCAGACGCCACTAGGATTGTCTGATATGCCACAAATTCTAAAGTGCGAGTCCAATGAATGGCATGCCCACGTTTTGAACTACATATTTTACTACGTAATTGTTTCATCTTAGTGTATCTTTATACAACATTATGTATTAATGACATTCTTAAGCTATGTGTATCTGTGACTCACGTGCTATCCTTTCATATAAGAGTTATTTCCCTTACTTGAGATAAATTTACTAACATTTTTAAATTCCAAGAATGCCAGTTCAGTGTATTGAAGCAATACCGTATATATATACATTGTTGATACTTATATGGCTCCGTGGGGATGTCACGTAAATGAACATAGATTGTAAACAACTAGGCAAAAGGTCCATGTGTAAACACGAAGTAATACTGGTGAAGCTCCCGTGAAATAGCCAGCAGCGCCATTGAATTCCATTTCCACAGGACCTGAAATAAGAAAGTTATTTGTAATTTGACAACGCCGTTGCCCAGTAGGACGGTGTACTATTTACGAAAACAGTTATATAAGATGATGTTTATTTTAATAATACGTAGAAAATTATTTTAAATTTTATCAAACTTCACGTTGCCTTCTCAATGAGTTACATTTAGTACACATACGTGCACATACATAAATAATACATTTACTGATAACCATGATTTCAGTTTCATTGATTTACACATTTCTTACAATTAACATCTAATATCTCTTACTAAACATCTGCCTTTAGAAAAAAAGTTTTTTTCACAGTGAGAGACATATATAATGTCTATTTATGGTTTGTGGAATTTGAAATAAAATTTAGATATTAACATAATACGATTTTAAAAAGATAATTAATGCAATATGGAATATGCATACTTTAATTTTCCAAAAGGTCAAGAATCTTATTCATGCAGCTTAGTATTACGGAATGCGCCATCGCAAGGATATACATGAAAAGAAGTTCGAAAATCCCCTTGTGTAAATAAGTAAGAGTGTTAAAGAAAGTCGTGATGCTAGCCTATACCAACATCTAACGTGCATGCATGACGAGAGACGTGAGTTGATCAGCGAGATTATCATATACATGGGTGACAGCATGCAACAGATTGAAGTCTAGAAATCAATATAAACAGAAATTATAATAGAAATGAAAAGTGGATAGATGTTGTAAAATTATTGACACAGCACGGTATGTATCTAAATGTTTTGTAATCTGTTCATGTAGACTGTAGAGTATTCCGCGAGTCTGATATATTATTGTTCTTATATACACACATGAAGATTTGTAACCATTGGTTCGCTAGTCAAATAATGATATTGTCTGTGATGTGATTATACAAAAGTTATGTTCCCTTACTTTGGGTTGTGTGTTGTGTTGTGTTGTGTTGTGTGTTTTTTTTTTTTTTTTTAGTTTATTTCTGCAATCTTTTTTTGTTTGTTTGTTTGTTTGTTTGTTTGTTAATGTTTTATTTTCAGGTTTTAACGAGTTTCTAATATCCTTGAATTAATTTTCAACTTAATAGTTATAATATTGATATGTAAGCTGGATGCACATAACATTTAAGTCACTAGTTTTAGCATTTGTTTCACTAGGAAAAAGAAGTGTTACTCTTATTGCTGGTTTTACCTTAATTGTCCAAATCTTGCAATACCTACATGTATTGCAAAGCATCTATTCATATCGTTCGTCTTGCGTTCACTCGGCCCACAAATTGATGTTGTTTGTTAATTTTGTCACACAAATACTGTTTAATTCCCAAACAGCACATTAAAAGTGCAATTATGCCTATAGTTTGTGTTTAATGTTAGTTTTCATGTGCAGAATTTTTAACTAAATTATTGATAAAGGACGTAAAACTATGTAAGTCGTAGAAATCCGACCGAAACTGCATTTGTTCTGAAATAAAATTTCAAGTTAGATGTATTAAAATCTTGGGTTATTGACATTTATGAGAACAGCAAAACTAATCCGTTTGTTCCTTGGGAATAACACTGTGACACAATAACAATATATGTACTACACACCTAATCGATTGGCAACATTTCAAATCTGCATAAAATTACAACCGCACTCAGTTCTTGATGTTACCACGACAAATCATTGTTTTAAGTCGAAATCTAATAGTTCATGATTTTTTTAGTACACAGAAGGCATGTGTGTACTAACCCCCCCCCCCCCCCCCCCCCCCCCCCCCCCCCCCCCCCCCGAAATGTATTTTTCTTAGATGAATTACCATATGATCATCGTTACAAAAAATAGTCACATGATAAAAAATATTCTTCATTGAGATGACGTGTATCGTGTAGCATTGTATAATTTTTGAAGCTTTATAATTTGTCAATTATGCCAGGTCATTTTTTTAGTTTTACTTCCTTTATCAACTAGAATGATTTCTTCAGTAACAATAGATAATCTTTAAATTTAAATAGCGCACATGTGTAACGTGACATAACTCACACTTCACTAAACAAGCTCTCAGACCTTACTTTCGAAATAGCATACATTTACCCCAGCAAATTATATCAGTAGTACCGGAAGTTTTTCTGATAACACCATTACTTTGACGATTTAAATGTGTATCTATATATGGTAAGGGCAATAATTACCACAATACACTAAGTAGTCCTATATAAAATAAACGATATATTAAATAGACAAGGACAATGTTGTTATACAATGTATACTGTTTCCAAATACACATATACATTAAATAGTTACATTAGTATAGTTTAGTCACATAATTAACTATTACTGTTGATGTAGTACGAATTACATGTGTATAAACATTTTACTGTGTAACGGTATTTCTAAAATGCTACGGTCATCTACAATATTGCTTTATATTGAAAAGAAATAAAAGTATATGTTTATGTGGTAATTTCGTGAAAACACAACAAACGGAAAACTAAAAAGGGTTTTATTTTTTTTTTATTTTTTTATTTTTCAATCACTTTATTATCTATTTAAGATCTTTGATTTTCAAAATACAATAATTGTTTTAAATATTTTTATTCAATTATTCACGAATATTGCTGATAAATAAAGCAGTTATTGTCTTATCGGTTCGATGGTTAATAGAACTGTCCTAACTACTAGTGTGGATGATTGTGGACTATGTGTGTTACATACCGTTTGGATTGTATTTATTATATGCTGTGATTTGGTTATGAAAACGTGGGAAAGTCGTGGTCGTACCCGCTCCGCTACCCCCGCGCATATTCTCCTTCCCTGGTGGAATAGTACTCGTGGGAACCTCTGCCTTTAATACTGGATACTCTGCAGAATAAAGACAAATGTAGACTGATTAACCTGACTCTGTACCGCAGCTGGCGAATCACTTAAATTTTTTACAAGGAAAGAATCAATATAAACGGTGCTAATATCGATGTAGCCGAGTGACAAGTGTGTATCTCTTCTAGTGTGAGGATAAAAAATATCTTGGTTTTTCCTCTCTTTATATGTGATTTAAGATTCCCCTCACTTCCAGTATAGTGAAGTATTATTGTTTGACGAATCGGCAGAAGTTGTCAAATGTGCAATTTTATCCTTTATCCTGACTAATGATAACCTTAATCTGATAAGGCAAGAAATTGTTTGCGATGATGCGATGGCGTCAATATGATTCAAATCGAATGAAAGGATCTCAGGTTAGCATATTTGATTAGCAGCACTGTTGAAAAAAACAATGATAATCTATACCATGACATGTCATGGACACAGAAAAGATTTAATCATCATGATCCCGCCGAGCTATATATATCTAGCTATCGTGTTTTATATCTGATTTCACAGCTTTCTTACGTTTCTACAGACGGAAAAAGAAAGAAAAGTGAAACTACATAAACCATGAAGAGAAAACAGCGGAAAGAAGACGAGAAACGGTGAACATCTAATGATAATTTACTCTCTTCGTTTGAATGGAGACAAATACACTTGGGTAGCATAAAACGGATTTTGTAGGAAAGTCTGTTTAATCCATTGGTATTGAAATACCTTTCCAAGTATTTTACGTATAGAGATGCACTATTGATTGCCATACATCTAAAACTTGACTCAAGTATTTTTTTAGTGACAATTAAGTGCCCATAAAAATATCTACTATACAAGTCTTATTGAATATGAGCCCAGCAGCAAACTTCTCAAGTTCAAAAAAATGTCATTTTAAATAGAAATGCTGGTACATTGAATGTTTATGAAAATGGTAGGAATGTATACTCAATTATGAAATCCGGCACTTAAAAAAGTACCTTTTCTTTCTAAAGAGCAACAAATTTCTCCAGGGAATGGTAGTCGTATGTTGGTACACGTTGACAGCTCATGGCTTTGGAAATATGGTGGAACGATTGGATTAGACTTAACTTTGACATTAAAAGGCCAATGGTGAATAGCCACCGATTTGATCTCAAATCCTGTTTAAATGTAATTAACCGTTAACATGTAGCAGAAACTTAGTAATTAAAATCTAGATTGTGATTAAGTTAGCAGAAGAGTAAAATGTAACGTAACATTCAAAAGATTTAAAAAGTGATAAAGATCAATTTCTTTCTAAGAACATAAATAGAAATTGACATGATGAACTACGCGGACTGAAACCAGAGTCGATAAATAAAACGAAAAAAAACGCGTTCTCTTTTGTTGTAGGGTAGGATCTAACTGTCTTCTTTTGTGTCTTATATTCTTTTCAGAAATTTTCGACGTGGTAGTCTCACAGACAGAACACTCTAAAAAATTGTGTTTACTTGGTGAAATGTAAACTTAATACCTTTGCAAAACCATGTTTTCTCCAAAATGAAAAACTCGGAACCTCAAAGATGCATGCATCGACGAGACATTCATCGTATAGAAACACTGGGCAAAAATACATGCATAGCAATTAAAAACAGTAACCTGGTGTTATCGATCTGCTTATTACGCCGTATTTATCAATCAATCTTAACTTATCGAATTAAAATCAACAATCACTATTGAAAGCTTTTCAGGGAAAATTGTCGTATATATGATAAATAATAGTTCGCTGAAAGACACGGGCACTACAGTACCATCCGTTAATTATTTTTTCTGTGCCAATATTTTCGAGTCAAGTAGCAGAATGAAGTGTATGTATAACCAAACATCGATAAACTTAATTCATTGTTCAAAAGTTAATAAATAATTGAAAAATCAATAATCAAAATTTCGGAAATCAAACGAATCCAATAATATATCAATCAAAGTTTGATACTTTACCGTATAAAAGCATGTTTTCACTATCTCCTCCCAGTTTGTTATAAGCTTCACATGTGTAGTTTCCGAAGTCGTCTTTCTGCAGGTTGTGAAACTGTAAATTGAGGGTCAGGGTATGGGGACGATCGTGAAATACATCAGAGCGATATTTGCCGTATTCGGTCACTAATTTTTTATCTCCCTTCCTCCAGAAAACTTCGGCTTGTGGCGAGGCCGATATAACACAGCTTAAAATGGTTTCTTTTCCCACGTAATGTCCCAATCGTGAATTCAGCAGTCGGACTTCCGGTTTAACTGAAGAATACATTCGATATTTAGATAAGTAAAGGTTCTTGTGACACATTTCTAACATGTTAGGTCCATGTGTGAGTTGTAAATATCAATTATAATTAGTTATAGTGTAAACATGACACAATATATACATGTACAGGTACACATTCGGTAAATTCTATCAAAATTTCGCCTGTTCGTACATACAAATGTTTTTCGCGACAAAGTTTAACCCAATAAACTATTTTAATAATCAAGACCCTATATAGAGCTGAAGATAGAAGACATATAAAACCCCGACAGGGTTAGTCAATATCTAAGGAAGAAAGTGCCATATGTATGCTAATGTTATTGACAGGTATTTGTATTAGAATTGTTGTACAGAAATTTAAATAACAAATTTATTTTTTCTCTCCTTCGGTGTTGTATGAGTATTCCAGATTAAAAAGATGTACAGCTTCTGTAATTGGTTGATGTTATGGGAACACGTACTTTACAATGGTGTGGACGTTGCTTTGAATGTGATATCAATGTATTATCAGGAAGTTAATTGGCATTCTGATGAAAGCTAATCACACGAGACAAAGGGGAATTTTACAGATTTATGGTATCGTTGATGGAACTCTGTACTTATAAATTGTCATTAGCAGTTAGATATGCATGTAGGAAAACATTCATTTATCTTAAAACTTGTCGTTACAAAGCATCATGATGAGGTATCAAACGAGAAGCGTTTCAGTTTAAGGAAAATAATGACAAAGTTCATTTTATATTGAATGGTATGTGAGATTCGTTTTATAATTTCGACAATATAGATCATTTATCTTGAATGAAAAAATAGAATTTACAGGTTTTGAACTTTAAATCATCTGATGTGGAGTGATTAAAAAAGTAACTGTATCAATAAAATGTTTGATTAAGACATCAGGGAAGGCTTGAAAGTTATAAATCACTGAAACGCTTTACACTATACATCGCCAGTAGTACGAACAACGAAACTAATTAGCTTTAAGGGGACGAACATCTGATGTAAGTAAGGGTATAAAACCTATATAAGTTTTATATCTATAAAGAAGTGTAAATTAAATGTAAGCAATACATTTTATACCAATTCCTAACATAGCTATACAGCTTGGATAATTGCGGCATCATTCAAATGGTTTCTGATACTATTATAGAAAAAACAATAGATTGTTCTGTTCATGAGTCTTCTATTTCAATTGAATTTCTATTTTACAATGTACTATTTGACAGAACGTATGCCGAGAGTAGGAGATACTTCTTTGTACAAGATACGGTGTACCGATTGATCGATATTAATTCTAAATTGCCAGCATTACCGCCATGCTAAGACTTCTGCTAGCAAGATTTCATTGTTCATGAACGATCGAAACGGACATCTTAATGCAATGCCGTCCTAAATATTGCTTTATTGAGAACAATTATAAGTGTAAAGAGGTTCGTTTTTAATAACTAAAACGATAAAACCCTTCAGTATTTCATATTACATTCCATGCACCAACACTATCTGTCAAATATTATTAAAGAGATGTGTTGTGTAGAGATAGATTGTGACAAAATTCCGGCATGCTATTTTCTATTTTGTAAAATTGACAGTGGTGACAACATTATTAAAGAAGAACCATTAGTTTTACGCCAGAAACTATTGAAGGTACATCCTTCATAGAGTTTAATATCGTCCGTAGTTAAAACATGTTTGTATACACGAGATCTCATTGTCAACGCCTCATCGTAGATACCTCATTTCAAAACAGTACAGTGTCACATCGTCAGTTACACATAGTACAGTGTATCATCGTCAGTTACACACAGTACAGTGTCACATCGTCAGTTACACATAGTACAGTGTCACATCGTCAGTTACACATAGTACAGTGTATCATCGTCAGTTACACACAGTACAGTGTCACATCGTCAGTTACACATAGTACAGTGTCACATCGTCAGTTACACACAGTACAAAGTACAGTGTCACATCGTCAGTTACACAAAGTACAGTGTATCATCGTCAGTTACACACAGTACAGTGTCCCATCGTCAGTTACACATAGTACAGTGTCACATCGTCAGTTACACACAGTACAGTGTCACATCATCAATTACACACAGTATAGTGTCACATCGTCAGTTTCACATAGTACAGTGTCACATCGTCAGTTACACACAGTACAGTGTCACATCGTCAGTTAAACACAGTACAGTGTCACATCGTCAATTACACACAGTACCGTGTCACATCGTCAATTACACATAGCACAGTGTCACACCATCAGTTACACACAGTACAGTGTCACATCATCAATTACACACAGTACAGTGTCACATCGTCAATAACAGTAAAATATTGCATATCCGGTCACACAAGTAAAGCATCACATGTCTTTTACACACAATTCAGTTCACATTGTCGTTACAGCATAGTAGTGTGGTAACGTCATTTAAATACAGCAAAGTGTCAAATCGGAAATAACACACATTATAGTGTCACATCGTCAAATACACACAGTACAGTGTCACACCGTCAGTTACACACAGTAGAATGTCACATCGTCAATTACACACAGTACAGTGTCACACCGTCAGTTACACACAGACAGTATCACATCGTCAATTACACACAGTAGAATGTCACATCGTCAATTACACACAGTACAATGTCACATCGTCAGTTACACAAAGTATAGTGTCACATCATCGATTACACACAGCACAGTGTCACATCATCAATTACACACAGTACAGTGTATCATCGTCAGTTACACATAGTACAGTGTCACATCATCAATTACACACAGTGCAGTGTTACATCGTCAATTACACACAGTATAGTGTCACATCGTCAGTTACACACAGTACAGTGTCACATCATCAATTACACACAGTACAGTGTCACATCGTTAGTTACACACAGTACAGTGTCACATAATCAATTACACACAGTACAGTGTCAAAACATCAATTACACACAGCACAGTGTCACATCATCAATTAGGCACAGCACATTGTCACATTGTCAATTACACAGAGTACAGTGTCATATCATTAATTACACACAGACAGTATCACATCGTCAATTACACACAGTACAGTGTCACATCGTCAATTACACACAGTACAGTGTCACATCGTCAATTAGGCACAGCACAGTGTCACATCGTCAATTACACACAGTACAGTGTCACACCGTCAGTTACACACAGACTGTATCACATCGTCAATTACACACAGTACAGTGTCACATAATCGATTACACATAGTACAGTGTATCATCGTCAGTTACACACAGTACAGTGTCCCATCGTCAGTTACACATAGTACAGTGTCACATCGTCAGTTACACACAGTACAGTGTCACATCATCAATTACACACAGACAGTAGCACATCGTCAATTACACACAGTACAGTGTCAATTACACACAGTACATCAGTTACACACAGTACAGTGTCATCGATTACACACATACAGTGTCACGTCAATTTACACACAGTTACACACAGTACAGTGTCACATCGTCAATTACACACACATCACAGTCAATTACACACAGTACAGTGTCACATCGTCATTACACACAGCACAGTGTTACACACAGTACAGTGTCACATCATCAATTACACACAGTACAGTGTCACATCGTCAATAACAGTAAAATATTGCATATCCGATTCACACACAGTAAAGCATCACATGTCTTTTACACACAATTCAGTTCACATTGTCGTTACAGCATAGTAGTGTGGTAACGTCATTTAAATACAGCAAAGTGTCAAATCGGAAATAACACACATTATAGTGTCACATCGTCAAATACACACAGTACAGTGTCACACCGTCAGTTACACACAGTAGAATGTCACATCGTCAATTACACACAGTACAGTGTCACACCGTCAGTTACACACAGACAGTATCACATCGTCAATTACACACAGTAGAATGTCACATCGTCAATTACACACAGTACAGTGTATCATCGTCAGTTACACATAGTACAGTGTCACATCATCAATTACACACAGTGCAGTGTCACATCGTCAATTACACACAGTACAGTGTCACATCATCAATTACACACAGTATAGTGTCACATCGTCAGTTACACACAGTACAGTGTCACATTGTCAATTACACACAGTACAGTGTCCCATCGTCAGTTACACATAGTACAGTGTCACATCGTCAGTTACACACAGTACAGTGTCACATCGTCAATTACACACAGTACAGTGTCACATCGTCAATTAGGCACAGCACAGCGTCACATCATCAATTACACACAGTACAGTGTCACATCGTCAATTACACACAGTACAGTGTCACATCGTCAATTACACACACTACAGTGTCACATCGTCAATTACACATAGTACAGTGTCACATCATCGATTACACACAGTACAGTGCTACATCATCGATTACACACAGTACAGTGTCACATCATCAATTACACAGAGTACAGTGTCACATCGTTAGTTACACACAGTACAGTGTCACATAATCAATTACACACAGTACAGTGTCAAATCATCAATTACACACAGCACAGTGTCACATCATCAATTAGGCACAGCACATTGTCACAGTGTCAATTACACACAGTACAGTGTCATATCATTAATTACACACAGACAGTATCACATCGTCAATTACACACAGTACAGTGCCACATAATCGATTACACACAGTACAGTGTCACATTGTCAATTACATACAGTACAGTGTCCCATCGTCAGTTACACATAGTACAGTGTCACATCGTCAGTTACACACAGTACAGTGTCACATCGTCAATTACACACAGTACAGTGTCAGATCGTCAATTAGGCACAGCACAGCGTCACATCATCAATTACACACAGTACAGTGTCACATCGTCAATTACACACAGTACAGTGTCACATCGTCAATTACACACACTACAGTGTCACATCGTCAATTACACATAGTACAGTGTCACATCATCGATTACACACAGTACAGTGCTACATCATCGATTACACACAGTACAGTGTCACATCATCGATTGCACACAGTACAGTGTCACATTGTCAATTACACACAGACAGTATCACATCGTCAATTACACACAGTACAGTGTCACATCGTCAATTACACACAGTACAGTGTCACATCGTCACTTACACATAATACAGTGTCACATCGTCAATTACACACACTACAGTGTCACATCGTCAATTACACATAGTACAGTGTCACATCATCGATTACACACAGTACAGTGCTACATCATCGATTACACACAGTACAGTGTCACATCATCGATTGCACACAGTACAGTGTCACATTGTCAATTACACACAGACAGTATCACATCGTCAATTACACACAGTACAGTGTCACATCGTCAATTACACACAGTACAGTGTCACATCGTCACTTACACATAATACAGTGTCACACCGTCAATTACACACAGTACAGTGTCACATCATCAATTAGGCACAGCACAGTGTCACATCGTCAATTACACACAGTACAGTGTCACATCATCAATTACAGATAGTGCAGTTGCAGTTACACATAACTATTTTAAATATAGTACAGTTTCACAGCAAAACGTTACATCATCATCTAAACACAATACAGCGTCACATCGTCATTTAAACACAGAACAATGTCACATCTTCATTTAAAAAACAGAACAGTATCACATCGTCATTTTAACGTAGTACAGTGTCACATTGTTGTTTAAACACAAAACAGTATCACATCGTCATTTTAACATAGTACAGTGTCACATCGTCATTTTAACATAGTACAGTGTCACATCGTCATTTTAACATAGTACAGTGTCACATCGTCATTTTAACATAGTACAGTGTCACATCGTCATTTTAACATAGTACAGTGTCACATCGTCATTAGGATACAAAACAATGTCAAGGGGTCACAGCGTCATATTAATCCAGAACAGCGTCAGTATTGCATGGTTACAGCAAGAAAGTTGATAATTATATTGACAACAAGACATCAGTTCGGTTGAATAATTAACATTCTGTACATCTATCCAAAGAAACAAATAAATGTACATGTATGTCTGAGACTGTTTTTCTATCATCGTGATGTCTCATATACATTTGTAGTATGTCGATTTGAAAAAAGCGGCATGCGCATTCTACATTAAACAAGGGTTCATACATTTCCTTTCTCCTTGGTATTTCTTAAACTTCGTAAATATTCTTTTTAGATTTCACTTTTGATGATATTGGGAGTAGTTAGATATCCTGTTTATTTTTAAAAAAAAAAATTGCAGGTGTCTTTTATGACGTATCTTTGATTTGCTGTGTTATAGATCGGGCCAGACAAAACCAACAAAAACAAACGCATCTGTGACAGAAGTTTTACAAATATAATTACTAATTAGTAATTATATTTACATAACGAAATTTTTTTGTTGACCCTTGAACTACAGCAGTCATGTACAGCTATCCGATGTATTTCTTCATCAGACTATAGGACTTCATAGGCATTAATGTCGCTCCTGTTAATATTACCATGTGGAAATCATCAGTGGTTTGGGGAAACCTGCACGTAGCTTGAAAATTATGTGATAAAAATTGTTTTTGCTCCTTTTCTCTAGCTTTATCAGAAAGGCAGTAATTTTATAATACCAACCTAAACATCTCGAAATGTCACAAACCAAGAACATTAATTTCCCTAAGGAACTGTAATTATACATATACATTTATCTGCAATTTGAAGAAGATTGGCTGGCGAAGATTCTATTACAGCCTATCCACCCCAATACCAGAAATTCTGGTCGAGTTCGCGATTACATGGAACCATATGCCACGAGAAGCATTTCAATTACGATCTCTAAAACCTCTAGCTTAATCATGGAGGCCATGATGAAATCCGTGATCTCCTATCAAGGATGTGTTACGTGTTTACAGAGTAACAATTACAACGTTTTTTTATATTTTATCTTTGCTCCGATATTTTACAAATTCCTTATAATCAAAACTTTTTAGAATAGTATTGTTTTATTCAATTTGATCTATGCTGCTCTCATTTCTACTACAGTTAAACACAACACCGTTGTTCAATAGGTTTTAGTAATCAGTTCGGACTTAATCAACAAGATCTGCATAGCCCCTTAGAGACCTTTGTCAAAAAGTCTTTTCAGTAAAATTTTGAATTTATAGGGAGACATTTCAGATGCCAAGTTGTTTTCCCCCTTTTTAAATTCCTTTCGTTGTATTTGTTGATGATTGTTTTCTTGTTTACTTTTGCGCAGAATCCACATACCATAAAATTACTAAGTAAACACTGACGTTATCTGAACTTTTTCATATCGTTACTTATTTCTGTGATATGTTCAACATTAAAGGCTGTGCAAGTTTGTACGAATAATTGATGCTACTGAAATGATGTTTTATTTCTAACTTTTAGCTCCCTTTATCTTCTAAGATTATATTTGTTGGGTAAATGAACCGTTCAAAGCGAGTTTGATCCATGTGTAGTTCAATCGATTTGAGCGTCGGCCCACGTCACCTCATATGAATTATGCGGTACTATTCTCTTTACCCTTAGCGGTTTGGATTTCTTAGTAAGATAATAAACGGACTGGTTTGTGTTGACATGGTTGTGTTCTTGGACAAGACACTTTATTCTATTTTATCTTATGGCATGCGACTACCTCCCGTATGTTGTTCATTGAGGTAGGCCTCCAACCCCAACTCAAAATGACGTTCACGGAGCGATAAACCCAGTAAATAAACAAACAATATCGGTGTATAACTCACAGCATTACCCCGTATGTATTACACTGTGCCTTGGTATATTACATGTAACAGTGCATTATTATATTATCCCTGATATTGTTAAACGTGTTTATATGTATACATGTAACATACTATACATCTCGGTTTTCTATACTTAAGTATACATTTACTATGTCACCAACCTTTCCTTTTTGGATGGTGACCCATAAGCTTTATTTTATACACACAGTAAGAGTAGACTTTCCAAATTAAATAATAATTTCAAAAGAATAGCACCATTCTATTAATTGGACAGGGTTTCATTGTTGTGTTCAGTATTACAAAGGTGATTTGAATGCACTTTTACTTGAATGTTGATACAAAGGGGTGGGGGCAGCCAACTGCTGAAATCGCTTTTGCTAGTCGTCAATATACCGTTAGATTCCGAGGGAAATTTCTTTCTCGTAGGGAAATTACTCAATAAAGCACTGGAATACGTGTCTGAGAAAAAATAAATCTTTAAACTTCTACCAACATTCCAATAATCAAAGATTACCTTAAGGAATTGAAAATGTCAAGTTTAAAACGACATTTTCCAAACCAAATGAACAGATATACTTAATCGAATATTTGTCGTCTCGTTGTTTTCCTTAATTCTTCAACAGTGAGGAACAATTGACTTAAATTCCAATTCTTAAATATTTTTCCCGCTGAAGTCGGATACATGTTAATAAATATTATCATAATCGAGATTCAGATTGTTGAAGAGCAAAACCCTAAAATCTCTTAAATCACCTTCATTTCAAAAGAGTTCCTTTCATAAGTGCGATAACTCCCATGGTAACACTTAGTTTCTCTACTTATTTAGAGACGTTATATTTTACTAGCTCAAATATATCATATTCACCTGTCCCAATATGTTCATTTGTTTTCGTTCCTAAAAGTCATTATAGATTGGTGTTTAAACAAAAGCGAAAGATCAGTTAAGGATAGTAATACGTTCCTCAAAAAGATTTAAATATGGACAAACCTGTGTACAAAATGGCCTAATAAAAGGGGATAGTCTCAAAGGAAATTATCATGTTTGAGGAAACCCCTATAATGAGCGAGTGCTGAATTAATATCTATATTGTTGCTAGGCAATGGATGATTTCTTATCCTGGGACATGATATCAAAGATTTTACTAAATACACGTGAATAGCAGTTTACGGTATAAATTGAGAAATAAATACAGCAAGCTACATAATAACTTAAATTGCATCTTATCGCTGTTCCGTCCTTTTAGGACTTGTCAGCGATGCTGATGGTTTAAGTATTAAAACATATGAGGCAACATTCAAATCTAAACGGGGAGTTGCACTATCTGTAAGGTACCTAAGTCCCCAGAAATATAAATGTTCAGGAAGATTTTTGGTCTGTACAATGTATATTGACAACGGTTAGCGACTGGAAATAAAAAAAAAATATCATTGTGCCGTAGATAATAAATGAATAGTTTATACGATAAAACCCAACAATGAGCTTACAAAGACATGGCCATAGTGGTTTGAGATTTTAATGGGGCACTGTTGTTTTACTGTCAGCCTACAGGCGACTGTACTACTGGGATTAGATGATAAAGGAACAAGGAAGCCGTGTAACGCTATACTGATTTCTAATACTATGCTCCGGAGTACTAATTACAATTCTAACAAGTCGCTGTTTCGAACAGTATTAATACAACTCCCTCTTTCATATTTAATTGATGGTGTAAGCGAGGCTGCCAATAAGGAATGGTTTAAGGGCCAAAACGAATACGTCTATTTATAAATATATAGACAGTGTGAGAAGAGCAAAATGGTGATTATATTGAACAGTGGTAGTTTAAGCCATGGCCTATTTCTGCAATATTATACATGTACATTTTTTAACTTTGCTTTCACGTAAACCTTTTTCTGGTTCATAAGTAATTGCTTTGTCAATTAATTTTTTTTTTTTTTTTTTTGACGTTTTGCTTCAAAAATAATTACAAGCAAGGATATTTCAAATGACTACGTCCAAAAATGATATTGAAGTTAGCTATGACACAATAAAAAGGACAGCTCCGATTTCAGAAATGGCAAGGTCTCAAAATGAGAGTAGGTAACAACGGAACCGACCAAAACACATGGACCAACCTGCTTTGAATCATACAACAGAACACTGTAGAACATTTCCTAATGATATCCTTGAAGTTAATCATTCCATGTAAAAGACTTGATATTCTTTAGATTGAAATACTCACACTGGACGTCGACTTTGATCTCTTTCGACTCATCCTCGGCCACTCCATTAGACGCCACACATTCGTAGATCCCGTCACAATACCGAGTTATATTATGTATAAAGAGAATCTCCCCGGGGGTACCGATCGCTAAAAATAAAAGAAAAAATGAAGAAATAAAACGAAAAGCTGAAAACAAATAAACAAAGTGCTTGGTAGAGAAACATTGTTAGAAATTCTGAACATTTGTTTGTCTGACAGTAGGTTTACCATCACTCCAGCATCTACAGTGACATGTAGACGTGCCAGATGCCTTCCTCACAAGGAAAGAAAAGAAATGATCTACAATGTCCTTGAAAGAAAGAGAAAAAAACAGTATCCAATTTCATGGATCCATGTATGGGTAGCTTATTACAAGACCCCTGTACTGAGGTACTCTGATGTCAACACTGAGGAGTTTAAACTGTAATAAATGTACGTCTAAAAGTAGCATGATAGCATACTGTGAGGAGACTTATGGAAACAATGGATGATAAAGTCTGGTAGAAGGATCTTAATTTCATATTTATTGTTTGTATTTCGAGTCAGATCTGCGTGCAGTAAAACTGAAAATAGTAACAAATAACTTCCTTTTTAAACTGAATTCACCGAACTCCGTAAAAATAATACTAGTTGAAAACAACACGTACTGTCTTAAAGATTTGATTCAATCATCGACGTTTGAAGGATTAAAATTTGAACGTCCTTCAGTGTCACAATGATGGGTAAGTTACAAGTCCTTATATATTTGTAATAACACTACTAACAGTGCGGATAATGTCAAAACAAACCAGAAACGTTTAAACCTGTATTCATGTTTTAAACAAAGATTTGTAATATCGCAAAGCTTCCAAATATGTTTCCTGATAAAAATGGCTGTGTTTGTAATGATATATCAATGCAATCGTATGGAGGTATTGAAAAGTCGATATGACGTCATTACACGTACATTACATGTACATACATATATACTGACCTTCAGCATCCACCACTGACAGATGCTACTTCTTCAGAACAAACTGGTTTTTTTTTTTAATCAAAATCAGTTTTGAAGATTAAAAGGTACAGATTGATGTTAGAAATACTCCTCAATGATAATTACATAGATACATTCGATGACACCATTGCGTGTTTTTCACACGCAAAATGTAGATTCATGCGCATTATTCATATGACGAATGAGGAGATGACATCTGAAGAATGATCATTTTGAAATTGATGCCAGAGACACATGCATGCCTACGATCAACACAGGGACAGGGACTTCGTGTAAACATGACGACAGCAGAAAAGAGTGTACTGCAATAGTTTAGTCCATGTCTTATCTTACCAGAAACTAATGTACAAGACTTTTTTTTTTTTATTTTTGTATATGTTTGACACGATATACTTTTTAACAAAGTGAAGAAAAATGACAATGCACGTAACACGATAAATGTAAGTATTTTCGGAGGCTCTCTGCTTAAAATAACCAATAATTAGTTTATACTGTACATTTACAAACGACTTCACTTCCTTCGAAAAAAATACGTAATTTATCTGATAAACGTGTTCTTGTCAAAACATTATGACTGCGTATCGAGAACTGCTTTCAGGGTATTTTTGTCACACTCTATTCGGTAAAATTTACGGTTATTTATCACCACTGATGTGTTACCCTTCTATTAGGCTAGGTGTCGGGAAAGGCATCCAGGGGATAGATAAGGAGGTGTTAGTGCACTCCCAATGATAATGGTGAATATTGGTTATCAGTGGTGTAGCTGTGATATCGTGCCCATGCCGCTGGCACGGGTATCGTCTTCAGGTCGATACAAACATTTGGTGCGTCACCATGCCGGCAAATATGCAGTCTCACAATGTCAAGTAATACTCGTAGTCTGTCACACAAATCAGTTTCAAAATAATTTCCCTGTATGAATCTTACTGGAAATATGACTTTATTGTATTTCTGTTTTGTTCAATCAATTATAACCTGATATAATTGACAAATGTTGTAATAATTTCAAATTAATTCTCCTCTTCCATTGAATACTTTGTTATAGAGTAAATGAATGTCACGTTTTTATCAATCGATGCAACATTTAACAAAACAATTAAACTAATGCTATATTAATCACTGCTGGTGAGAATTACTGTTACATACATGTACACTTACACGATTGCATGATTTGTAAACCTTTATTTTGGAAAAATTAAGCCATCAAGGTAGTTTCAATGTGGGTGTTCCTTTAGACTATGGATTTGTTTGTTACCATCCCCAGTCCTCGTTTACTGTTATCATCACTCGTTTCTCAAGTTATTGTTGTATTTACTATCTATAATTTGAGTTAGTGAAATCCGCTTCTGTACTACCTGTAATAGGCACTTCGTGTGTTTTTGGAGGACGTTACATGTATGTTGCTATAAAGGAAAGGAAAGTTCATTTGTCCATAATTTATGTAAAGGAAACATCACACAGATTAAAATGGAGATATACTTGATAATTAGTGTAATTCAAAATGTCCAAATGTTATTTTATATTTATCACTTTTCTAATATTTATTTTTTAGTATTTTGCAAATGAGCTTTGGGCCAAGTGTTCATGCTAGTGAACTTCTACGATGCTTTTAAAACATATTATGACCTTTTCAACTACCTAAGTGCCAGGAACTATCTGTCATTTGTCACCGACGTTCCTAGGCAGGGGATTATGATGGGAATGTATTAAGTGCACTTGTATAGTTCAAATATAGTAAACATATCGCGTAAATTATTGATATACTCCTATTAACTCCTATGAAATATTGGAGATATGGAAGTCACCATTTGTCATGCACTAACAAGCCTGGAGCTATGATATATACCTGGATCAATATCAGCTCCGGCATTTTGGACAAATGTCAGCTTTGGTAATTGCCCCTATCTTGCAATTGTCCTGTGGTTCCAACGACAAGGAATACCAAGAACATTAATCATCTGACGTCATTAATTTTGTAGAAAACGTCTGTAAAGTGTGCGCATGTGCTATCCGTTCCCATTAAAAATAGTGTCATTTCCTATCATGTTATGTAAAAGACTAATTGCAGCTCGTATCTCTATATTTTTTGTTCTTTTTTTCTTACTTTGAAGATGGAATATGTTTCCCGTATGCCACACTATTTTATGAACCGGTTATTGGTTCACCACAGTCCAACGATGTCTGTCTAATAGTATAAATCAAAATAATCGAAATGAAACAAAATTTTGGATGATCTGTCATAAAAACATTATATGTGAAATGGTCATAAAGCGTATCTCTGATTATGAATATGAAGTTACCTATGTCGCGAAACAGGTTCACACAAACATATAAGGAACTTGATATTTGTGCATTTTTTTTTACCTCTAATTCATTTTTTTCTTCCTTTTTCAATTTATTAAGCGTTTGTGATTAGTACGAATGGCGCAAACATAACAGTTCTGTGCTGACCGAATCATTCTACACACTTAACCTTATGTGATTCATGTTGACAAGTTATTTAGCCCTCCAAACTTTCCTTCAATACTGATGCAGATGTCGAATGCCGCCTCAAATATCAATCTTGCCAATGCCCTTTTCCCCTGTCTATTGTTTATGCCATTTTCGTACTACTGATCACTTACGTTCTTTTTCCATAGTAGACGTGTACTTGGTCTTCCGGTACCATCGTATGTTTGGCGTTGGAACTCCAGAGGCATTACAGTGTAACTCCACTGTACTTCCTTCGTTCACCACCTGGTTACCACTAGACCATTCCTCGTTAATGTCTGGTGCCACTACAAGGAGGAAGACCAATAATCAAACTACATTACAGGACATTAAAACCAACAGATATTTATAAATAAACAGTTTTATAAAGAGGACTTCTGCCTGGATATACACATTTTATATATGCCACCTTAATTAAACCTAAATTAGTTTAAATTCCTACAAAATATACATGAAAAAGAAATATGATAACCGTTTATATATCAAGAATTGAAATACGATTTGGTTACGTTATAATAAACACTTCACATGGTGAATCTAGTTCGTTTTGATACTAAATAATTAATGACAGTTTGCAAAGTTATGCAACATCACAAAGGCGTGTCTGATTAAGTAAGGACTGACGGGCCAACGAGTTAAAAGAATACCTAGAGGCGAAGTCCGATATTATGTGATTTATCTTAAAACCTTTCTTAAAGTTGTATTGAACAATCCACAAAAGATATGTCACGCTATTACAAAATACATAACACGATGTATATAACCAATAACAGACCTAAACCTGTGAAATCATTAATTTTCCTGTATACTCTATTTTCATGAAATTTCTGGATCTCATTAATCCAGTAACAATATGTCCATGAGTCAATAAAACTATTAAACTTGGACGTGAAATTTTAGGGTTAGTTAGTTTCTTGAGCGATTTTAATGAACGAAATTAAAAAGCATCTTTAAACATTACATTTACTCACTGTTATTTTTTTTTATTTCAAAGTTAACAATTTTCTTATTTTTAGAGGCATCACTTTTGTTGTGGAAAGGAACATGAAGATATTTGAACTATACTGTTACATACCGTCGACCCTGAGGTGTACTGATTTGACACTAACAGGATTTGTGTTGAGAGTACACCGGTACATGCCCCTGTCGTCATATCGAACCTTCCGGATATGGAGATTCCAATCAGGGTCATATGGACGCTCTACTGACATCCGGTCGTCGTCCATTAACCGGCGATCTCCATTTGATATCAATATCATCTTCGGACTCATCCATACCACCTGGATAATAGAAAACGTACTGATTTCGTTTCAGTTCAGATGCTACAAAATATATCTCATTTACATACAAAAAAATAAAATTTATATATTGCATATACAAACCTGTAAAAAAATATGCACTGTGCTACCATTTGACCACTGAATCAACTCTACATAAGTACCATGGCAAAATTTTGTTCGTGCAAACGGAGTACATGTATAGAAAATCCCATCTGCCGACTTCCTCTAATGTAATGAAGGCGACAAAGTTGTTCTAACAAATAGAGCAGGTATAACGCCAGTTAATGTGTGTGTACTGAACAGCCTGATCATAAAGCAATGATTTCTCAAATTGAAACACACGTTGGTAACCTATTTAAACTGATATGAGAGTATACCATAGGAATATGGAAGAAAAATAGGTGGTCTAGAAGGGAAAATAAAGCTTGTATGTATAAGTACTTGAGTGTCTAGTCTATGTTGCTTGATTGTTCTGACAAGAACCGCAACCGCAAACGTGTAAATATAATCAGAATCAAAACTCAGAGTCAATAAAACAAAATGATAACAAAAGAAAGATCGACATGGAGACTCAGGAAAAAGCAAAAAAAAAAAACAAAAAAATACTAGGTAATCCTGAAGAGTAAGCGTCTTTTGCTTCATCGACGACAGATGCTATGTAAATCTTGGTCAGTTAAAGTGAGTAATGTAACGTTCTCAAAGTTTTTTATTTATTTTTTTTTTTTTTCTCAATTTCGATTGCAAACTTGTCCTTGTATCTTAACACATTATTCAGTTGTAATGACGAACCTTTATCCGTGTGTTTAACAAATATTTTAGTAGATAGTCGAAGCATAGTTTCGCCGATTTGGCTGCTAAGTGAAGTTCATGTGACGTCAGCAGAAATAGTAAAATATATTTTTGAATAAGCGAATGAAAAGTTACCTTAATCAACGTTTTGATGTTTTTCGGTTTTCGAAAAACTTTGGTACAGTCTTTGGAGAATAACCAACATGGAGCTGAAAATACTAAGTATGTACTTGGTTTTTCAGTAATTTTATTAATATGTGTTTCCCCTAGTTTCCTTTTTATTGACCGTTTTCCATTAGGCGTGTTTGGCACCTAAATTGACATGTTTTACATGTACAAACTCAGAGCTTTAGCTGTGGAAACATGTCCGAAAAATGTACTTTCCATAAGTTTTTTAGTGTGATCAATAATAAAACAGTCAGCTTCAAGAGCGAATTTAATTTTGCATTGCGAAATGTTTTGAAATTGGTGCTGTAGTGAAATACGATTAAATTGTTTAAACCAAATTATTTATTTATTACAATGTTATTAGAGTCGGTAGTACCGATTGACCTACTTCAATAATTCATCGGTACAGCAGGAGCATTGCACTTGGAATAAGGCTTGTCGTCAGCTATCGAAAAGTTAGTTTGCAATAGAACGTTCTCAAACATGCCCTTGACAACACGGATTTCTTGTCGGCAATAAAGATGTATGATATTGATATTTATATTTTAAAATATATATATGACTTAAATGGAGTATTTATCATTAACATTTACATTTAATCAGCTTAGCCATCATATTACAAATTTCTAAATGTCTTCAGATTTGCCTATAAATATTGAACAGCTGAGAAACCTGAATGATCTTGAATGTGTGCTTGTATCTGCAATTTATCTATTGGTCCATTTATTGATTGCTTATTTCAAAAATAAAAATGGAATTGCGGTCGGTAGAGGAACAATTTACGAGACATTGACTTCAATTTTTTCATGATGTGATAAAATGTTTAGCCTAAACTTCGTTCATATCAACTTTTTAAATGAATGTAATATTCGTAATTTGAATTTTAAAATAAAAAAACTAATTATCTTCTGTATGGCAGAGATATTAATGAGAAAGGGTATCGATTTTCATTGTAAATCATCTGTTAATAAGATGTGAATACCAGAAACATTCTTAAATCATAAAAGCTGGAGTTAGATCAAACAAAGCTTGTTATTATAAATGCCTTTAATATATTTTCCAGCTTAATGTTTGTCGACTAATAACACGAGCCATATTTTAATGAAAACAACATCACGATCCAAAAATAGAATAAAAATAACAAATTGAAACAAAGATAAGAATATAACTTAACGTATTGTCAGAACGTCATATATATGTTTTGAAATCACATGATTTCAATCTGAAGTTAACTTCTAACACATCCATCAACAATGTGATTACGCTAGTATCATGAATGTTGTATATATGCTTATATAACTTTCGAAACAACGATAATGTCTTTAAATCTGCTCGTACCTATTGCTAAGGTAAAGACTCGTAACATGTGACATTGTATACAGTGGCAGTCGTTGTCCTTGAAGGACTGGGTGCCTACCACAGAAAATGTCTACCACCCCCGCCGTTGCATACTGTGCAATACCAATTTAAGCTTCTTTACAGAAATTACGAGTTTGGTATGAAACGATCCCCTACTAAGTCGTAATTTGCCAAACTCACTCGCTGACCAATTAAATCTCAATTAAGATTTGAAAATAATACGATCTACAATAAATCTTTCTTCTCTGCGCCACTCAACACTGCAATAACGTGTTTCCGGTAAAAGCCAGTAAATGGATTTCAATTAGATACTTTCAGGGACACAAAAACAAAACTGACCTTCAAAGTTATATTGTGTATATCCAATATCATAACGTTCTCTCCGCATATACAACATTTAAAAATATGCTGGTATTACAAGTCGAACGCGTTAGAGAGTGCAATATATAAAATTGTAAAATAATTGTGACGAGATATGTAAGATATACATGGGAATTTCTGCGTGAAATTGAAAGTGAAGATTTGGTTAGATAACTATGGAAATCGTTACTCTAAATCACAATCTCGTTCAAAAGGATTTTTGTATAACCATATACAAAAACAGACTGTCTGACTTTTAGTCTGTAGTTAAAAGTCTAGACATCATCAGGGTAAACACGATGGTTATCCTGAGGGACAATAAAGACAAGAAAACGCTTCAGCAAGAACAGGCAACCATGCGAAAACATATCCTAATCGGAGACAGGTCCTGACTTATGAATGCGCTTCGACGTAGTGTATTGAGACCCTATTAGAAAAGACATTTCAAGCATCTTGTATAAAGACATAAACAAAATGTCAACCTTAACGAATAAACGCTGATAGTGCCAACGGTGTATCACGTGATTGGTGATTTGTTACTTGAATAGGCTGGATCTACATGTTGACATATAATTCGATCGCTTCTGGTTTCCCCAGGTTACATCATGGATTTCACTAAAGAGTCCTAAAATGACGATATGGCTGTATGCTGTTTGATTAATTTCATGACAGAACGCAACCAAGACTCTATTTGTATTGGGATATGTATTTTCACGTGTTTGTCTTATTTACAATATTTCATTCCATGTCATTACCTCATAAACCATATCGGAAAAAATCGTGATACACCGTTTTCATTGTTTACTTGTCTAATCGAATTCCTGGTACTTACATTGATGTTTTCTGATAGTCGACTAAAGAGTCCTTTTTTCTGATAATTTTTGCTCGCGTTATATAAGCCCTTTCTTTCCATGTGGAAAGTATTCTTATACTTCAATGCATGTGTAAAAACATTACAGAAAAAAAACCAGGAACGCATATCCACCTTACAAATCAATGTGCGTGTGGTAGTTTAGGGATTGGAATCAATCCATTTAATAGCGTACTAACTTATCCATACCATAACTATCAAGATGACCCCAAAATAGATAAAATCGAATCCTCTTGGAAAGGTAGTGATTTGCATATCAGACCTGCAACATTAAACGTTTTCGCACACACGTATTTTGTATATTGCATCACGCTAGATATATATCACTTTCTGGTCACACTATTTGACTAACAATCTGATGTTGTAAACAGACGAGACTGAACTTGAAATGACATCAACGGCATTTACACAGTTACCCTGGAAGAATTTATGGAAGATAAAATCAGTGACATTAACTAAGAATAAGTAATGGCTAAAATTTGGCGCCTGTCTAAAAACACATAAATTTTTAACAATTTTGAACACTAGATCATTTGAATATTGCGCCAGAATTCTTGCCGTCATGCAACAGTAGTAAGACATATTGCTTGTGCTACTAAAACACTGGTCATGACAGTCCAAATATCTGGGAAGAATTGTACCAGAGACACATCTCGAGGAGTTACTTCAGTAAGATACAGGTATATAGGTATACACACAAATCTTTGTGGTTAGCCAATAGCGCGAAATTCATTGTTATCTCGTCCTATTGTGTCATATGAGAACGAGGGTCAGTGACAAAAAGAGGAATATGTGTCTTATGATGGCCAGGGATTCCGAAAGATGATACCTATACAGGTGGAACCATGTTTTCCACGCTTAAATTCAATGTCAGGAGGGATGACACTCAATAAATCAATAGGAAATGCGCTGTACAATTAGGTTTCATTAGGTTTTAACACAAATTATGTGTTATAAAGGTACAAACTCACTGATGTAATTCAGTGCATTCTTAAAAGTAATCTATGAAAGTACGAGTGTCAATAAGCATGTAGAACCAGTGGAATCGTTGCTGCTGATGAAGAAGCGTATCGAACATAAACGTAGCAGTAAAGTTCAAGGACATCTTCGTAATTGTTACACTTGATCGAAAACAATAATGAGTGTGTGAAGGCATAACGATAGAAATAGTAATAACGTGCTCTTGCTACTCAAGTCAGTAACCAAAACACAAATTAATATAACGTAATGTGTTGTAAAGCAACACATCCACCGAAGAAAGCTCATCATTGAAAATGTACAAGCTCTTGTCTACTGTGAAAAGTTATTATCTGTGGTAGGGTACGCTATATATTCCCCTCTGGAGATGGTTTAAAGTTAACTAACCATGCCCACTGAGTGAAGTGATACTAACTAAAGAAAGTAAATCTTAAAAGTAAAGACATTAGAATGCATTCAAGATAATTTTTATCAT